GGGATAAAGCGGTGGTAGTAATTTAGACTACCCAAGAACGATTGCAACCCTTTTTGCGTGCGCGGGAAATCCAGCGCCGCTAGTGCTTCCAAGTTCTTTAGCTTCGCCCCGAGTCCGTTTTCCGAAACCTCGTGCCCCAAGTAATCCACTCTTGGCATTCCCCATTCGCTTTTCTCGACACTGATCGACAGGTGCCACTCCTCGCAGACCTCGAGGAGGCGTTCCACCTTCTCGCACAAGTCATCCCAAGACTTTCCCCCGATCAGAATATCGTCAATGTAGGACCGTCGACCAAGCACGGACCGTGTTCCAGGCTTGGACGGGACCCCGTCCTTGAAAACGTCGCGGGTATCTTCAGTCGGCGAGAGTTTCCAGACGTACAGCGCGTTGTCTATCAGCCGCTGGTATATCTGTGGCGCGTTGCATAAACCGAATGGCATACGCAGCCACTCGAACAGCCCGAATGGTATGATGAACGCGGAGATGAGACGGGCTCGGTCCGTCATCGGGACTACCCAAAATCCGCTGGCCATGTCTAAGGAGCAGTACCATCGGTACTTATCCAAGTCTTCCAAGAGGTCCGTGACCAGTGGCATCGGGTACACCATCAACTGGGTCAGACCGTTGACCAACCTGTAGTCGACACAGAGTCTGATGTCGACGCCGTTCTTCTTCACGATGACGACGATGGGGGAAGCCCAAGGTGACTTCGACGCGCGGATCATACGTGCGCTGAGGAGTCCTCGGATCAGATCGGCTAGTTTCTCGCGAAACTGCGATGAGATCTTCCGGACGCGTTGTGCGACGGGCCTCGCGTTTCCCACATCGATGTCGCAGATGACACCCTTCGCTGCAGGTGGCAGAGCGTTGCCCTTCCCGATCAACCATTTACGCTTCTTCCAGACGATTTGGCGCAGCCGTTCTTCCATCTCTGCAGCTTCCTCCGGGTCAACTCCTTCCGGACGCCCGATTTTGAGATCCCCGATCTTCACTTCTGCCGTCAACGGGACTTCTGGCAACACCGCCATTTCGGCTTCCACGTCTTCTGCGAACAAGTCTGACCCTTCATGGAATATCACCTCCTCGTCGGCGTACTCGTACTCTGGAATCTCCTTGAAGCTCGGGTCGGGATCTTCCGTCGACCCCATCTTGAGATGCGGTCCGTGCTTAGGCTCCGCATTACGGTCGGGTCCGTGTTCGTGCTCCGTGTCCAGACGCGTTCCTTGCTCGAGCTTCGGAGAGAGGGCGTCCCGAGTCTTCACCGCATCGGT